GGTAATATCTGCAGACATTTTCAGTTTTCATAACTGGTGATTCTACTAGCACCTAATGGGTAGAGACCAGAAATGGTGCTAATTATGTTACAATGTACAGTGTAATCCACCATAACAAAGAATTATTCAGTCTAAAATGTCAATAGTGATGAAGTTGAGAAATGTTGGCCTAGAAGAGGTTATTAGAGAGATTGTCAGTTTGCTCACCATATGACTGTGGCTTAATGGAAAGAATCACAGAGATAATTTTGTAGCTATTAAGGATTGTTAATAGATTTTTTTCTAGTTTTAATTTTAAATTTATTTTATGACACTTCTTAGAAAAGTGTAACATATAGTATAAGTTGTGTTTATTAGGAAATGTGATAATGTTCTCAGTAATTTCTTTATTCCTTCAAATCATTAGTCATATTTACCCACATTAACATTATTATTATTATTTTTATTTTTTGCTTCCTTTGTATCTTGGTGGGTCTACTTCTGTGGTGATACTGCCTTGAAACCCAAGGAGGGGTCGCTATGAGTCGGTCCGACTCAACGGCACATAACAACAACAACAACAGTATCCTGAAGTTGTGTCTTCTTGAATTTGCTTAGCTTGCTATTTAATATGGAGGACTGCCTGACAATAGAATCAGATTTGGCCAATGGAATGAATATGAGTATAGTACAAATGTAGGGGGTGGGTGCTCTCTGGGGAATGAGTGACTGAATTTGAGAAAACTAAGAATATTTAAAAGGTATATATTTGTGTTTGTGTATTTGGATGTACTAGTTTGGAGAGAAAGAGCTCTGGTAGCATGGTGCCTAAGGCACGTGACTGCTAAGCAGAAGGCTGGCGGTTCAAACCCACTAGCCCCTCCTCGGAAGGAAGTTTGGGCAATCTACTTCCTAGTGATATTACCTCGGAAACCCAAGGAGAGGTCGCTATGCGTAGGGTCCTACTGGAGGGCACATAACAACAAAGTGTGGAAAGATGGGATTAATGAAGACCTCAGTAGTGGTTCAAACCCACCAACCACTTTGTGGAAGGAAGACTGAGCAATCTACTTCAGTAAAGATTTACTGCCTCGGAAACCCAAAGGGGGTCACATGATTCGGAATCAACTCAATGGCAGGGAGTTTGCTTTTTTTGGTTGAGGATATTTCATTAATGGGAAGAGGGAGGGAGAAAGATAGCTGGCAAAATAAATATTTAGGAAAGCTTCGTTGGGGAATGTGCCCTTGAGCTAGTCTTTTTAATTATATTTTTCTGAGGCTCTGTGTTTAAAACTGACTCCCTTAGAACCTCAGAAGGAAAGAAGAGGAATGAATGATGATTCTGACATGGATTATATTGTGAGTTTTAAAGAAAACTATAGCTATCTGTCAGTTTGTCACCCTGTGGTGGCTTGCATGTTGCTGTAAGATTGGAGGCTATACCACTGGTCATCCACAGTGGACAGGTTTCAGTGCATCTTCCAGACCAAGACAAGGAAGAGGCCATCCACTTTGCAAAATATGGGCCAGAGAAAACCTTATGAATAGCAGTGAAACACTGTCTTATATATTACTGGAATAAGCATAGCAAGGATTTTGAGGATGGTACATGACTGGGCAGTGTTTTGTATGTTGTACATAGGATCACTATGAATCACACTCAATTTGATGGCACCTAGCAACACAAAATTAAAATGCAGACATGGTTCTCAATTGTACATTTTATGTCTACATATAATGAAACAACATCAATGCAATATTAACATTTATGAAACATCTACTATAAACTTGAAACTGCATAAGGCTGGAGACACAAAGACTCTGGAATGAAGGATCCCCCAATTTAAGAAGGGAAATAGGTAACAAATAACTGCTATTACAGCAACCACCTACATTATCCTGATGATTGAACCAGAGAAAACCTGCAACATTAGCATTCCCTGTACTGAGCTGATATTTCTTTTGATTAATGACAGAAGACTCTGTGACACCCTGCCATACACACACACACACACACACACACACACACATATTGTTAATTAGCAGACAAGTTGAAGGTAAAGGACATGGAAGCTGTGTCTAGATGACATCATAATTTTGATCAACTGAACAACCTGGCAATGGCCTTGAAGAGATACTTAACTTTTCCAAATCACTTCTTTATTGCAACCAAAGCCATTAAGTTTAAAGGTCCATAAAGATGAGATAAACAGTCATAAAGGTCTTTTGAAATTCATACACAGTGTGTTAAATGAATTTAAGTGCTGTCCGTTAAGTACGGTGATATTAAAGCAAAGTACATATACTGGCAAAATGCAAATCATCCATTGCTTAATGGGGGACAAAAATCTTGAAAAGAACAGTGGACAAAATGTTACTTAAATGTGATTTCTAAGTCATTTTTGCAAAATTTTTAAGGGAAGAACTTAGCCTTAGAATACTTCAGTGGAAAACAGCTCTTTTCCTGGGTCCAAAATTCCTAAAATTAATTTTAAAGTTCATTTTTGTTTGTGGAAAGTTTTTCTTCATGGTGTACCTTTTAGACTGATGACCTGCTTCTGAAAACTAGCCACTGAAAACCCTAAGGATCACAACAATCCAGTCCTGCTGTACATGGGATCGTGATGAGTTAGGACCCAACTCAATGGCAACTAACAACAGTAACGTGTAGACTGACAATCCTTGAAAGATAATTTTAGAATAATTCTGATCCTGAATACTAGTAAACCAAAAAACCCAACCCACTGCCATCAAGTTGATTCTGACCCATAGCAATCCCCATTGGGTTTCCAAGGTGGTAAATCTTTATAGAAGTAGATTGCCCAGTCTTGCTCCCGTGGAGTGGCTGGTGGGTTTGAACCACCAGCCTTTTGGTTAGCAGTCATATGCCTTAGGCACTGTGCTGCCAGAGCTCCTTGAATACCAGCAAATGAAGTGTAATTGAAACATTAAAACAAATGTAACCCATGTATTAAAAATAGTCTAACCTTAATCCTGGAGCTCTGTTGGCCTAGTGCCTAAGGCATTTCACCACTAACCAGAAGGCTTGTGGTGCAAACTCACCAGCCACTCCTTGGAAGGAAGATTGGGCAATCTATGTAGAGATACTGCCTCAGAAACCAAGGAGGGATCACTATGAGTTGAATTTACTCAATGGCAGTAAATTAGTAGTTGTTTTTCAAGTTAATCTTAATCCTATCTAATGTTTATTGTTATGTACTAGGTAATATCCTAAACAATTTACATTAAAAAAACAAAACAATACAAAAAAAAAACCTCACTGCCTTTGAGTAGATTGCAGATACCCAGGAGGTATCTCTACCCAAGTAGATTGCCCATTCTTCCTTCCCAGAAGTGGCCAGTGGGTTTGAACAGCCAGCCTTCTGGTTAGCAGTCAAATACCTTAGGCACTAAGCCACCAGAGGTAAACAATTTACATAGATAACTATTTTAATTCTGATAAACCAAGAAGTATGTGCAATTTTGTCATCACCTTTTTACAAATGAAGCAAAGTGAGACATAAAAATTGTAATTGACTCAATGGTCACATGGTAAACGATGCTGTTGGTAGAACTGCTCCATAGGGTTTCCAAAGTTGTAAATCTTTATAGAAGCAGACTGCCTCATCTTTCTCCTGCAGAGCACCTGGTAGATTTGAACTACTGACTTTTCTGTTAGAGTCAAGTGCTTAACCACTGTGCCACCAGGTCTCCTTCAACTCTACTGCTTACTAAATGTGAAATGTTGGAAAACTATAAAATGAACACACACACACACACACACATTTAATCTCAGATCCTAGTACTGATGTGCAACCGAGGTTGTGTTATTATTAAGTAACATACCTTTAATTGTTGAAACCCAATAAAAACAGAAAGTGGTCTGCTTAGTTTGTAACTGATATTGTTTGCCTGCTTAAAGGGCCAATGCTAGAATAGGCAGTTTTCATATTAATTTGGATAGAGGAAAATGGGGGGAGAATCAAATCGTTAGAGGGGCACAGGAGATGGATGAACTAAATTCTAAAATGCCTGCCTTCCCTCCCCTCGCAGTCAGTACTATATTCACTATGAAGAAGACAACTAGCTTTTAAGAAAACCACATCATCAGACAAGTTAAATTTAGTGTTGTTGATTTGAACATTATTAGCTTCTTAGTTATGTTTGTTTTGACTTCTTACAGTTGTTTAGTCTTGTTATTACATAAGAAGTATAAACATAAGGAGTTTACAGATCATTTTGTATTACATGAGTAAATACATAAATAACTTTATATTACATAATTAAGCAAGATTAAGTAAAAAATTTGAGATATGTAGGATATTTTTTCCTCAAGAGATATTCATACTTTTTTTAGGGTAAGAAAAATTCTTATCTAGTATAGGCTGAAGTCTCTTTTTAAATGTTAGTTATTTTCTCAGACCCTTACATGGTGGCAGTCACATGTTTTAATTACATGAACTGAGACAATACCAAGTGATAAGAAACCACTGTAAATTTAGTAATGTTCCAAAATAACTTGTATTTAATTAATCACACAGGCATTTATATACTTTTGAAACATGATAGCCTATGAAATACATGAAAATAGTTTTATGCACAGATACTCACTCAGCATGTTTCATAAGAGCACAAGATTGGGAATAATCCAAATATCCACCAATAAGGAAATGCTTGAACTCATTATGTTACATCTACATAATGGAGTACTATGCAGAAGGAAATGTTATTCACATTCCAAGGAGTAAACTTCAGGATAGATGGGTAAGTGATAAAAAATGAGATAGAGCAAATGCCATCACAGGGGAATAGGTAATGAATTTGATATTGGGAATGGTGACTATTACTGCCTGGGGCGTATCTCAACATAGATTCTGTGGTGGTTTTAAATTTTTCTTCAACAGTCCTTCTATCCAGAGGTTGAGTCTTTGTCCCTTCCTCTTGAGTCTAGATGGACCTTTGTGACAATCTTTAAGGATAGAAGCCTGCATGACATCCAAGGCTAGGATGAGGAAGACCACATGAGTTTTTCTGGAGACATTGCTCTGAGAGCTGTCAATGCCCTTCAACCAAAGACTACCAGGAACATACCTGGAATTAAGCCAGTTGGATTCATCACTATTTGCAGCAAGGCGGAACCCACACGACGGAGGGTCGAGGTATGTCTTCATAAAAGGGTGTTAGAAGCAACCTATTAGAAGCTCTGGTGGTGTAGTGGTTAAGGCATTTGACTGCTAACCAAAAGGTCGGTGGTTCACCAGCTGCTCCATGGAAGAAAGATGGGACAGTCTGCTTCTGTAAAGATTTAAAGCCTTGGAAACCCAATGGGGGTTACTGTGAGACAGAATCAACTCGATGGCAGCGAGTTTGGTTGTTTTTGAGAAGCAACTTATTAGAAGATTTGGGCTTTGGTTGGGTGATTTGGAGGAGAATCAAAGGAAGAGGGAGTTTATGTTTCACGTCAGAGAGTGGGGATAAGTGATTGAGTATTTTGCGAGTGGCACAGAGACCTTGTTATTATTTGTGTTTAGAAAAAATTAGGAGCCCCGGTGGTGCAGCGGTTAAAGCACTCATCAGATAACTGAAAAGTAGGTGGTTCAAACCCAATCACTTCATGGGAGAAAGATGTGTGACAATCTGCTTCTCTGAAGATTTACAGCCTTGCAAACCCTGTGGGGCAGTTCTACTCTGTCTAGGTTGCTATCAACTTGACAGCAAATGAGTTTTTATTTTTCAGTCAAAATTATGAAATGACCTTTGTTTTATTTCATTTTATCATGATCTCAGAATATCTTTATCTGAGGATGGTATTTTGTGGGGTTGGTTATGTTCCACAGGAGAATAATACAGCCTCATTATGAATGTCACATTAGTTCTGCATGTAGGGGGCTGCTTGTTTTCTTTTTTCTGAGCTTTCAGTTGCCATATAAAAAGTCTTGCTACCCTGAGACCCTCATGTGGAGTAACCTTGTGGAAAGACCACAATCACGTACACAGAGTTGGTCCATGAAGCTCAAGCAGTTCCTACCCTAGATATCCAAGTCTCCTCAGTCCCGGTCCCAGACATTTGAATAAAAGAAGACTTTGAGATTATCTCAGTCCCAACTATTGTTATGGCAACTGTATGAGAGACCCTAGAGAAGAATTGGTCACCTAAGCCCTGTTAATTTCCAGAGTCATGAGTGAAATAAATAACTATCACTGATTTAAACCACTGTTTTGGGTGTGTTTGTTATGGAATAATAGATAACAGATTCAGATTATCTCTAGGTCTGGAACTCAGAAGAAAGACAGATTTGGAGTTCCTTTAGCAAGAAGAGAGTATTTGAAGCCACTGGAGTGGATGAAGTCATGAGACAGATAACATATATTGAAGAAGAAAAAAGAAGCTATAGTAGAACCTTTAGTGACAACAGTGAAGGAACCGAGAATAAAGATTCATTTAAAAGGAGACTGAGGAGTGGATAAGGTGATCAGATGACATCCCAGAGAGATGATGTCAAGGAAACCAAGAAGAAGAATATTTCAGAAAGGAGGGCATTGACTGTCCCTCCAAATCAAGTGCTGTAGAGGGAGTTCCACTAAAGCAAAGACTGAAAAGTGTCCTTTGGATTTATCAACAATGAGTTAAATTATTGGTAAAGGCAATTTCAGGAAAATTGGGACCAAGGAAGAAATGGGGTCAGAAGACAGATTGCAGAGGGTTAAGGAGGAAACAGAAGAAGAAAAGGAGAATGCCAAAGCCCATATTATTTTACTACCTCACCTTGCCTTTCTCTATACTATTTGTGTATATGTAATTATTTTTCTAAGGAGCTGTGATGGTGCAAATGGTTAAATGGTTGGCTGCTAAGAGTGGTAGCATGAAGCCTCTAGTGGCTCCATGGAGAAAAGACCTGGCCATATGCTCCCATAAAGATTGTTGTTGTGTGCCATGAGTTGTTTCTGGTGCATAGAGACCCTACATGACAAAGTAGAACTGTCCCATAGGGGTTCCTAGGCTGAAATTTTTACTTTTTTTTTTTTCTTTCCTGTGAAGCAGCTGGTGGGTTTGAACCACTCATCTTTCTGTTAGCAGCCAAGTACTTAACTATTGAACCACCAGGGTTCCTTCCATAACAATTATGACCTAGAGAAACCTATGAGGCAGTTCTACTGTGTCACATGGGGTCACTATGAGTGGAAAACCAACTCAATGGCACCTGAGAACAATCACCACCACTAACAGCCACCACAACTCTTTTTCTACCATTCAATAACCCATTAAACAGTCATTTAATGATATTAACTCAGCAATTGCATAAGAACATGAATAGATCACATCTTGGTTTATATGTAATGCTACACTTTAACCTGAAGTTTACAGTTATAAATGTATCACTCTTTTTTCATTTTTTTTCTGTCATTATAACCACTTTAAATCTTTTGTTGTTTATTTATCTTGCATTTAAAATAGCTCACCATTTAAAATTATACCCTGTGCTCAGTCTTTACTTGTACCTTGTAATCACTTCAGAAAAACAATCTCAGTTTAAAAGTTATAAACTCTGGAGGCATTTCTGCTGGAAGAATTGTTTATTTTTGCCAGAGAAGTCTGGGGAAAATAGTGCTTGTTGCTGAGTGCTAATTCATATAGAAGCATAGATAAGGTTTAGCAGGTAGGGCATTTGCCATGGGCACCACTTGAAGACGTGTACCCCTGAGAATTTTCTGTTAACCATAGTAGTTCCATTGCCTGCTGTCAGAGATCATTCAGCAAGTTAATACTTGAGAGACTTCATGGGTCAAGGCAGATGGTGTGATTTTGCTCTGCTGAGTGTAGAAAGAGAAAAACCAAAACAAAATCCACTGCCATCGAGCCAATTCTGACTCATAGTGATACAATAGGACAGAGTAGAACACGACCATAGGATTTCCAAGGCTGTAAATCTTTGCAGAAGCAGACTGCCTCATTTTTCTCTGGTGGAGTGGCTGGTGGGTTCGTGTGAACTACTGAATATTTTTGGTTAGTAGCTGAATGCCTTAACCATTGTACCACCAGAGATCCTTGTACAAAGAGAAGAAACTGAAAAAAAAAAAAAAAAAGTAAATTTCATCAGTGAAAGCAAGGAAGATACAGTTGTAATTTTCATCTAGTGCTATTATGTGTTAAATTAGAGATTACTAGCTTGACTTATATTTTTTAGCTAATATTATGGTAAAGTTATCTAAAAGATGAATGTCAGATGTTTGGCAAGGGGACAAATTTCAATACTTGCCATAGGTTCTGTTTTCTGTTGATACACCTATGAATTTCCTGCTTATTAGGGCTCCCATGATAGTTTATCTTCCCAGGAAGCTGGTATGGGATTCTGCTTATTAGAGTAGAGGTGAAAGCCACTTTGACAACAGTGAATGAGTTGCCAAAGGGTTGTAGAGAGTAATTTCTCTCAGTTCAACCTGTAAGTAGATAGCACTACAATGGCCTCATTTGGCTTCTCTAAGCCTCTCTTTGCCACTTCTTTTCAGAGCAAGTCTTACCCCATCTCCTTTATTAACTTATTTGTGGTTTTCCTGCAATAGATGTGTATAGGCAAAGACTATGGTGAGGATGGGAATAGGTGGAGGGTAGGTGGGAATAAGGCCTTTAAGCAAAGACTTTACATTTCAAAGAACTTGAAACTTACATTTCAAATGTCATTTCCAAATACGGCTTTTACACACAGACAAAAACATCATTAACAGATTTGGAAGAAGACATGTAGCATGCATTTTAAACTACTATTGCATTCCTGGGACTGTCTATATAGCGTCTTGCCAATTAATTCTTTTCACAAATCTTATAATTACCTTGTATATATTATAAATGTGTGTATTATATTATGTTAGGGTTTTTACATTCACAAACGTTCTTTTGTTTGATATAAAGGTTTAAAATGTACAATAAATTTTGATGATCTGTTTTGGCATTTCTTCATATTTTTTGGATTCCAGAAGCCTCTACAATGGAAAATTTCTGAATATCTCTTGGTGTCTCAGAAGCTCTGCTTGGAACAATAATTTTGACCCTCTATGGAAGGAACTGTGGAATGTGGAGGATGATCTTGTAAGTGCTTAGAGCATTTTGGAGAGGCTGAAATGAAACAATTATTGAGCACATTTCTGTGTCTAGCACTACGCTAGGTCATTCGCATTCTACATTTCATCATGCAGAATTGCATGGAATGAGGCCTGGGATTATAAACTCCTGTGGGAGATGGCCTGAGATGTCCTCTGACAGAAAACTGCAGCATGAGACTTAAAGACAGCTTGCAATGGGGTTTGGGAGAAGGGTAGAGAGATATCCAATCTTGGTAAAATTTTCTGCACAAATACTTGTGCTATCCTTTACTCTTGTAGTTTTGTGACTCTTTCTCTGGGTTCATCTGGTTGGCAGATGGACACAAAATGTCTTTTAGCTTCAAGGAAGGCTCACAGAAGCCACGTATGAGTCTTGGCTTTAAAAAATAGAGGGAACCGAGCTTCAGAGGTGTGTGTGCGTTTGTGTGCCTACCCATGCACATGTGCACTTCTGCTGACTGTGCCACAAGTTTAAATCAAATTTCAAACTGGGCAAGTTTCTTATGCTTCTTTAATGTGGCTCAATGAGTACATTTTTTAGACATGAAAAGTAGAGTATGTTCCAAAAGTTCTTTTCTTCTGCCATCAGGATAGTAATACTTAGAATAATTTCAGGTACCCAAATAACTTCAGCAATATTAATGGAGCAAAACAAAAAAGATACTCAGCAGTAGATGACTAGGACATGTGTTAATTCACAAAGAACTTTTTTTTCCCCTTCTTTTGAAAATATAAGCCTTCTTTCTCAACTGTGACTAGGATTAATTATTTGAAGATTTATTTAAAAGAAATAATCTTGCCTAGGCAGCGAGACAGAGCAAATTAGTTTCCCATTTGATAGTTTATACATAAAGTGGTCTCCAGGGTCTCCGGGAGCAAGGTAAG